GACTTTATCACAGATATAGATGAAGCCCCATCTGTAGATGATTTGGATGGATTCATTAATAATCTCGTAGTATATGATGATGTGATGTTGGACAAACAATCTAATCCAGCTAGAATATTTTCTCGATGTCGTCACAAAAACACAGACGTGATTTATGTTACTCAAAGATATACACAAATACCTAGAGTGATCAGAGAAAATTGTAATATTTTGTTTGTGCTTAATGGAGTAGATAATTATACCTTGCGCAATATTTACTATACCTGGTGTTTAGGGGTTATGGACATAATTAAATTTAAAAATTTCTTTTCAAAAGCACAATCTGTTCCATTCGGATTTATAACAATAAATCTACATGACCCAAGATTCAGATATCGTATAGGTCTAGATAAAATATTTGGTTAATCCCTGATAAATCAGGAGCAGCAGGGAGGGTGAATCTCTACATGATATTGCTCGAGTTTTTAACGAAAAAAATAGTTCGATAAAGTCAGGGTAAAAAAAGTCAATAATAGTATAACATAACTGAGCTAACCTCATACTATTTATTATGCGGTTTTTAACCGTCCGTACGGTAATATAAAAGTTAGATATTTTGGTTTAGGGTTATTGACCTTTTTATCAGCCTCTGTAGTAACCCTTAATTTAGGTTAACGACACGAGCAAAAATTTGTAGGATTCACCCTCCCTGCTCTCTCTCTCTCTCTCTCTGTCTCTCTCTGTCTCTCTCTCTCTGTCTGTCTGTCTGTCTGTCTGTCTGTCTGTCTGTCTGTCTCTCCCGCTCTCTCTATATATATATGCATATGTATGTGTATATATATAGGTATATGTATGTACATATATATATATATATATATATATATATATATATATATATATATATATATATATATATATATATATATATATATATATATATATAGAGAGAGAGAGAGAGAGAGAGAGAGAGAGAGAGAGAGAGAGAGAGAGAGAGAGAGAGAGAGAGAGAGAGAGAGAGAGAGAGAGAGAGAGAGAGAGAGAGAGAGAGAGAGAGATTGGGTGGTTGCGACATTTGCAAATTCAGTCGTGCCCCTATATATGTGCTGGCACCCTACATTTACAACTGTTTCTTCCTTTTTGCATTTCAGTTTCTTTACACAACTTCCTTCCAATATAAATTATTAACATTTTTTTCTTCTAATTTCTATGTGCAATATGCCAACATTTTCCCTGCCATGTTTGAGTCAGATGTGAAATTAACTTCACTGTGTGTGAAGGAAATACTTCTGAATAGCAATTGCATGCTTCTGATTACTGAATCTAAACTGTGTGCTACTTTCTGACGTATTTATTATACTGAATCTAATGTATGTGCTACTTTTCGTATTTCTCATACTGAATCTGTGTGTACTGTTTTATGCACGTATCATACTGAATCTATGTATCTATTATTTTATGCACGTCTCTTACTGAATCTATCTGTACTGCTTTATGTATTATCTCATTTTGAATCTAATCCGTGTGCTACTTTATGATGTATTTCTGATACTGAATCCAATTTGTGTTCTGCTTTATGTATTTCTCATACTGACTCTAATTAACATGCTACCTGATGTATTTCTTATATTATATTTCAATTAATGAAATATTGAATTGAAAAATAAAAAAGCTTCATTATCAATAGGAAGAAAGACGTGAGACAAAATACTAATGATTATATATTTTACTTAAACAACCTGAATGCTTGCTGATAACTCTGTCATGTTTCTTGCAAATAAGGGCATGAAAGAACTGGGTTTTATTGATGTACATCCTTTGACGAAGCATATTTGATTTAATTGTAAAGCGCAATGGAAACATAATATGATTTTTGTGTTAATGACTTTTTAACTCTTAGATAAATTATTGGCGGGATTGTAATTTTAAAAACCAGTGATTTTCTTTACCGCATACGCACCCAGAAATTACAATGTCACCAAATTCAATAGGTTTTAATTCTGTATATCAATTAAATTTTTAAACTAAGAGTATTTTGGACATCGTATTATTGTTGCAGATGTTTTATATGTTCAGAAATCTTCCTAAATGTTCCAGAACCCATACTGACCTATGCAAGGTCCACTGAAATTATTTAGGTGCAAAAAAGGCGTGTCTAATTTTACTAGCCCTGTCTAAGTTACCTAATATTTTCAACTTATGTAAAAACAAAAGTTGTGATTCATTTAACGTTTATTATTTAAATACTTGTCCCACGCACTGTTAGGTTTTGATCACGATATTCAATTGCTAGCTGCACAGAAATAAATGTATTATTTTAAAAGTGATTACGTGTGATTTGGATTTGCAACATAGCTTTAATAATTTTACATTCATATCGCTACGATGTCTACACAGTGTTGCAGTTTATAGTGATGTCTAGCACAGAGGAATCATGCCGCAGATATTCCAGTCCTAACACCTAACAGCCTAGTGCTGAATCTGAACATATTAAATAAAAGAACTGCAACACACACACACACACAATCAAACAAACACACACACAAATTTCTGCAACTTTTATTTATGGCCTTGATATTTTTACGTAAAGTAAGCATGCACAATAATCGTAACTGACCTCCAAGGTCAATAGTATACAAAGTTTATAAATAACACGTATATAGAATGTGACCGCCAGTTTTTTAAGCAAATTGAGTGATCTATATTTTGACAATATATTACGTTTTTACAACATTGTTCCAATTAAACATTCAAACCTGAGGGAAACCATAATTGCCTCGTGCTTTGTTTAGAGCAATCAGAAAAAGAACTGATTGAAGTTTGCAATCTGTGTCGGACAATATTCTATGTATCAACCGGCATATTAATAAACAAGATATATAATCTTTGCCTTATCAATTTTTACGAAGTTACCTGTCCAAAACTTATAACCTTTCTGCTACCACCAATACCAAACATTGGTTGAAATATATATGTTTTCAACTGTTTTTAAATGTTAGGTATGCAACGATCAGTCAATGTATGGTTTGCATCTAGACTTGTAGAAAATAAGGATTCGATTATGATAGAGACGTTAATGTTTGCTTCATTTCACTATTAAAGCAGTCGTGCACATGTACAAAACAGCATTTGCGTTTCCAGATTACAAACACCACTGTTTTGCTGTTCTGAATATGATTTTATTGAACATGATTCGAAACATATACAAGAAATAGTTGTATATAAATACGGAACAATTAATATAATTGCTATAATACTATATTTAAATATATATCATCGGATATTGAGGTCTTTGACACGCCATACAATAATGTATGCTTTGCTCATTTCAATACATACGTTCTTTTGTCACTCTAACTACGTGCACATACTGCTTACTTCCGGCTGTATCAGTCAAGAGTTCTTTTTCATGTTATATCTGTAGATCTTTCAGTTAGGTTTCTTTCTTCAATATATGATAGATAAAAAGTGAAAGAAATGTTCACGTAAAAATCGGAAAGTCTCTGTTATAAATTAACTCAGACAATATTCTGTCGTGTTATGTTTGTAAGACTTTAAAATGGTGCACTAAATGGGTATATTGGAAAACGTGAGTGATATCTGATATCTAGCCTCGATTTATGTACAAATGCCCTTTTCGACGCTCTACCTTACAATATCACTAGTGTCCCCATAGTGCATATCAATGAGCTAATACTTAATTTGAGACCAATCTTTCAACCCACTCTTTAATGTTAATCACACCTCTTAGCACAACATATACATTACCGTTATAACTGCAACAGTCTGTGCTTTTATAATTTCGTTCACTAGCACATGAATCCTGGGTCATGGTGACTGTATACTTAAGAAGTGTGGATTTTTTTAAAAATAAATTTCACATTGTTGAACTTGTCATTCAATTTCTATACTTGATGCACATTTGGTTTTCAATATATTTCTTATATTTGAATACATGCCAAGCTGAGAAACTCTATCGTTTAATTTCTACCAATTCTGTTTTGATTATGTCTGAGACTAACATACATGAGATATAGGCTGTCTTTGATTTTTATCTGAATGCTACTTTCAATCGTTCATATTTGCAAATGTTGACCGTGTTCGATATTTGTTTGTTTAAAAGAATTTTGTTTAAAATTTTGTTTAAAAGACTAAATTATGACAAACTATTCAGAATTTACCAAACAAACAGATCAGATTTCTGATTGTTAAATTGTTTCTTAACCCAATAACAACGTGAAAGGCTTAAATCTTCCTGGGTCTTCTAGTTCCTTAATAACATATAATGCTATACATCAGGCTGATAGGGATTTTAGGGTCTAAAAGCTTTGAAAATATAATGTATTTACATATTCGTTGTATTCATATTTATGAGCTGAGACATACAGTCTACGATTTTTTAAAATTAGGGTGTTAGTCTTTATATCTACCTTATAACCTGTTTTTCTTTTTCACCGATTATTTGCGTCATTTTAAAGCTTGTTTAACTAGCATACAGTTTAGTTGATTATATATACACTATGCCTACGGCAAGCATGAACACAATGGGGATTGTTTGAGTAACATGCAGTACGAACATAGTCTCCCACCTCAGATTATTCCTACTGAAGGTAAATATAGGTATGTGCATGAGAGAGTGAGAGGGGGAGGGGGAGAAGTTCCATAACCTGAGTCTGAGTTCTAACTATATTCCCAGTGGGCGACACAATTATAAATCTCAAACATGTTTCATAATGATAAGAAGTTTTCTTCTAAAGACAGATTAAAAAGATCATAAACGCTTTTCAAACTGTGTGTATTACGTGGTCGTCTAATACGTAGGTATAAGCTCAGTTGTATAGTCAAGGAGTTTCTTAAACTGATTTTCTTCCCAGTTGAAAAGTAATCCGACAAAAGTATTATTGTGTATTCACAAGTTAATTGTTTATTCATAAATTAATTGTGTACGTTAAAAATCTTGTTATATGTCTATATATTGTAAATTATTGTATATTCATATGATTACATATGCAATCACTCGCGACGGCTCCGGTGGCCTAGTGGTTAGAGCGTTCACCTCTGATGCGAGAGGTCGAGGGTTGGAACGGCGGCCGAGTCATACTGAAAAATTATAAAAATGGTACCAGAAGCTGCTTCGTTTGGCGGATGGGTGGGTGGGAAATGATGCTAAATGTCTGCGGCATGATGACCCAGTTCTAGACTTCACTGTACACTGCCACACTGCAGACATAGTATCGATATAACTGAAAATTTGTTGAAAATCGAAATCACACACACACACGCACGCACACACATATAAGAGTAAGAAATATATGAGCATATTAAAAATGATTATTCTCTGAGTCACCTATAATGTGAAATATGTACACCCTTTGCAGAGAGAGAGAGAGAGAGAGAGAGAGAGAGAGAGAGAGAGAGAGAGAGAGAGAGAGAGAGAGAGAGAGAGAGAGAGAGAGAGAGAGAGAGAGAGAGAGAGAGAGAGAGAGAACTCAACTAGGCACAGGGATACAGCACGTCTACAGGAATTATTAATGTCTAGCAAACCAAAAATGTTTCCAGAAGGAATCATGAAAAAGTTTCGCGTGTCACTTTGCTATCATGTTGACACAAATGACCGAAGAAATGGATATGATACAAACTCGAATACAAGGACGGAAGTTGGTCACGGGGATACAAAATATCTGACATTTGCATGATCCCTCTACTATATCAGAACGTGTGATGATATATATGTAAGTCTGCATGTTAGTGTTGGAGAAGGCACGATGAATGTACGCAATGGCAAAACGGAGGAAGACGGAAGAAAGGAGGTTGACAAAATACTTTTGCAACAACCTCAGGAAATAAAACTAAAAATCTCGACAAACGCCATGGCAATTATTCCTGATTGAGAGATAATAGTTTTAAAGAATGTAGTGGAATCTTGGAAAAATTAAATATTTTATCATAAAAGAGAGAGAATTTCAACATAAATATCTTATTGCGTTGTATAGAAGAAACTTACTCAACAAGCATTATAATCGAAATTATATATCAATATCAGGAGACCTTAGAAACAATTTTTTATTAAAATTTATGCAAGAAATGTACTTCGTATGTGAATTACACCAACGTTTTGCAAGTATTTTGATTTTCATTTTTATTTACCTGTATTACTCTTGTTTGATGACGATGTCGATAATTGGGCTGATGCAACTAGAGCATTGTAACACCAGATACGTATATTAGAACGCTTTTATAATATCCCCAGAATGGTAGTTTGACAAAGCTAAATTAATTATGCTTTCACAATGAAAGACTTTAAATAAAGAGTGAACAAAGGCTTGAAAATGGGGCACATATTGGTACAGTTTAAATTTAATGTCTGTATGGGTCTTTTGCTTATACCCTAATCATCCTGACGACGACTAAATAAACATCACAGTATCATATATCGTATTTCATGTCGTATGTCATTAATAAGTAAATTTGGGCATGTTATATGTGCAGATGTCTTTAAATACTGTGTTTAAACATATGTTATGTTATGGCTCTAAGATCTGGGAACATATGTATTCAAAATGTATTAAAAATGTTCAATGCCGCTGCTTCAAATAATATTTACGTATCTCACGTAGATGATAGCGGATGTTTGTCAACTTCAACACGTGTGAGAAATGTATCATTTTGGTTATGTACGGATATCACAAACTGTTGGAAATGCTAGTGTATTTGTAACAGCATTCTCGCAAGACTGAAGGTTTGTACTTATCAAAATTGGCATGACAAAATCATACAGTCGTCAAAATTTAGCTTTGATCAAAATTATAAAACATAATTAAATGTCGAGAAGTATCCTTCCATAGCTTTTCTTATTTTTGCACATAAAGCTCTTAAACGTTCTAGTCAAACTTTCTACAGAGACTGATATACATGATGGCATAACTATTTCAGGTCATTTGTGCAGTTTTGTTTGTTGCAGTCAGTTGGCTTCCGTAGAAGATGAATATCATGCATGTTACACGTGTAAACATTATCATGATGAAAAAAAGTATTAAAATAAAATAATCCATCCCTAGAAAAGTTGTATATTATGTGAACAAAAAATTCTTTATGGTTTTCAGAGTTGCATTATCTATATACCATTTGCTGCGTCGACAACAAAAAAGCACAATATTTAATGTAAACACATACATACATACATACATACATACATACATACATACATACATACATACATACATACATACATACATACATACATATATATATATATATATATATATATATATATATATATATATATATATATATATATATATATATATATATATATATATATATAGTATGTGCGCATTATCACTTATCAGTGATATACCACGGGATGTATAATTTTTCATTCAAAGGAAACGAGGCTTGTCGAGTTTCCATTTAGTGTATTAGTTATACACCGAGTGGTATATCATTGATACAGCGTGATACTATGCGTATATTTTTTATATCACATGCAAGTACAATTATTTGCCATATAGTGCCCCGTAAAGACATTTATCTTAATGTGTCGACTGGCAATTGCAATTTTGTATCATTGGTAATATAAACACTTTAGATAGGTCCCAAAGGAAGTGTAAACATACCGTTATGAAGAACGATACCGTAGGTTACTTAATGCAATTTCAGATTCAATTTTTGTTTGTTTTTACCCAGTCCATTAGTCTTGCTTTTGATTGTTATTGTATTACGTCACTAATGATTTATGAGTGGAATTCATCATTGATCTATTGGAATACACCCAACAGTACACAGTTCCAAGAAAGTTTATGGATGAGTATTATTGCACCACTTTAATAGACATGTTGGTTTTAATATATATATATATATATATATATATATATATATATATATATATATATATATATATATATATATATATATATATATATATATATATATATATATATATATATATATATATATATATATATATGCATGTCTTCGGTAGATACATCTTGTCTTTACATATCTTATTGTGTTATGGGCCAGTGACTTAGATAACCATTACCAATCTTGAATTCCATCTACCTATAACTGACTAGCAATGCTTTAACAAAAGAATATTTCAACGACCTCGCCTACTAAACCCCGCGGTCAGTATTATCTCAGATTGACTTATTAATTTCCTTTGTTACATGTTAAGGTCTTCATTCAATGATACCAAACCTTAGGGAGCTAATACTGCAATCATTACGTGCTGGCTCGATCATTATCTTTTCCAAATCAATGAGCTGGAATTACAAGACTAAAGAGCTCACCTTTAACTAACCACCAGGTCCATAAACTCTATTGTGTTTTAATACGAGATGTAATAGTTGATCGATGGACCTCCTACGTAAAATGAAGCAAACTGGGGGCTTCGAGCTGCTGCTAAAACATATACATCGAATATCTCTCTTGCAACGAGCAGGCCACGAGACACTACTGACACACTTAGTCGCCTTATGCTACCAGAACGAAAATGCTACAGATCGAGAGATATAGTTACTTTTGTCAGAAACCGCATCACAAAGTCAATTTTCTACTTTAGACAGCCCTGTAAAATGTTTAGACTCTATGTTGTAAATTATGTAATAGAAAGAAGGTAAAACCAACAATTTAAGTGAAATCAGCAAGTTATGTATTTCCCTACAATACAAAATAAAAGTTCATAAGAAACTTATAACATTATGGATTAAATCTTAAATAATTTCAAAAGTCCTCTCTCAACCTAACTTTAACAATGCAATTGGATTCCGATAGACTGATCTAAAATAATTATTAATTTTTTTAGCAAGTCTTTATTTATACACTATTTCACGTGATCTCGATGTGAGTCATTCTAATGGAAATTTCCAGTTAAATTGTAAACAAGTTTGTTTCTAGAATATCCTGAATTCACAAGGCTATGTCAACATGATATTTACAAGTTGTAAACGTTGTCTATGTAGACATGCTGTTTATAGATGACCAGTATTTAAAACTATGATCATCGACAAAACATAAGCACACAATGTTGACCTGCATAACGCTTGTAGCACGCCATGCTTATTACTAGCACAATGTAATTTATCAACCTAAGGGTTCTTAAATATGCAAATACCACAAATAATATTCCCATATCAAGTTATGATCACACTTTAACGAGACCCCATTATCACACTTGCATGATATATCTTTTTTTACATTTGAATGTGCCAGTGGTAAGTCTTTCCACGCCTTAGATCGACCCTTCACTGCATTATGTTCATTTGTGACTGTCCGTTCCAGGCTTCCTACTTCTGTATATTGTACGTCAATTACAGCATATTACGATATTACTAGTCAAACTTGATTTATAAACAAGAGAATAATCAATTCAGTGTCCAATTTCTTACAGCTTGTATAAAAAACGAAGGTGAAAGACAGCTTCGCCGTCCATCCGCGACGCTTATACATTTAATTTTTCTCCTACAATTAACAGGATTCCAACTTGTCAAACATGCAGGCACCTCCTGATACCACAATGGCGATACTACACTTAGAATGATATCAAGTAGTTTGGCAGCCCTACAGTTTTCATATAAACCGAGGCCCCGAGTGGCCGAGTGGTCTAAAGCGCTGTCCGTTATGGATCACTGCCATCTCACCTCTGCGTGGGTTCGAGTCTAGGATTCTGCGAATGTGTATATGTGATAAAGCTTGCCAGTAGTTTCTCGTGGGTCGGTGGTTCTTTCCGGTGATTTCCCGGTTTCTTCCCCCACCATTAATACTGGCCGCCATGAATAGCCTATCGTGTGCTGAAAAATGGCGTTAAGCTCAACAACAACATATAAACCGCCATACAATGTCAACTACCTACTGTGAAAAGTCTCGATAACGCATCTTCTCTAACAGTCACTAACTGTCATAACCTGAAACTTTTGAACCAAACACTTCCACTGCTTCAGACCATGTCAGAGTACACTACAGCTTCCATTAATAAACATTAATGCACTCACAGTACCAGGAAGCTTACTCAGGACGTCTTTCCAACAGCAAACGCACAATCAACACTCAGGCGTTTCCAAAAGAGATCATCGCAAGCTTACAGGTATACAATCTGAA